ACCCTAAATTCCTAAAATCGAGCTCCAAATTTTTTTTTGTTGTTGTTAAAAAATCGTTCTTTTATTTATTGCAATAAATAATACTAGTCAAATATTGTCTAAAAAATCCCAAAAAAGCTGCAAAATTAATAAAAAAAATTTAAAAAATTGGGTTCGGGCTTACCTTATTTGCTTCAATCTCAAAATCGAGCCCCTAATCTCTTCATTTTAATGAAATCAGGACTCTTGAAATATATGTATCTCTGTGATCATTAAAATCCCCAACTTTTATAAAAAAAAACTGAACACCAGGCCAAAATCAAATGAATGGCGGATTTTTCATAAAAAACTGAAGAACATCAAAAAACCCACCAAAAATTTGCCAAAATCGATATAATCTTGGAGTTTTTTGATTCAATATTGATGGATTTATAGAAGATTTGAAGGTATAGTACAATAATTGAGCCACAAAAAACAAAAAAACGACAAGAAAAAGCATAAAAAAGCTGCAAAAAATGGCGGATCACGGGTTCTGCCCAAATAACGGGTATTGTTAAAAATAGCAGCTGTTATTTTTTGTGGTGCCATTATTTTGATATATCGCCTGATATAATGCCAAACTGGACCGGTTTTGTCAAAAAGTCACCGGTTCGAGGCCAAACCGGCCAGTTTTTTAGCCGTTTTTTTTCAGGACGATGTGTTTTTTTACTAGTACACGAAAACCGGACCAAACCGGTGCCACCCCACCGGTAGCGAGCTAACGGTCGGTTTTTCGAACACTGTTAAAAATATAATAAATTATTAACACCTTAAATAGAAGTGTAATCATTAATTTGTATTTATATGACATGTGATGGAACTACAATTTCTTTTTTTTTTCTAGTGTTTTGTTTCTATTTTCCTAAATATTCCAAAATAATATTTATTCAAATAAATAATCTATATGCTAATATAAGTAGAAAAAATTCAATTAGGATAAGAGTATAATTGAAATGTAAAAATAGAAATTTTTAAAAAATAATTACTCAAAAATACAAATTATATGGGTTAATAATATAATTAAAATTTCTATGTAATTATAGAGATTAATATTTATATATGTTAATAATATATTTGCCAAGTAAAAATACAAATTATTATTGGAAATGCTTGTTAGGCGCAACGGCTTTTGCACTAGGCTAGCCGTTGCTTATTGCAATAAAAAAAATGAAAAAAATTAACCCATAATACAAGAGTTTCTTGAAGTTTTCCTTCACATGCTTGGTATTTATATATCACTTACTTTTGCTCGAGATAAAGCTGAGTATGTTTATATAATATTCTATGTGCAATATTAGTTTTGTGTGCTAAGTATGCTTAAGGGCATTTGTCATTTGATATATATGTTAATCAAGACATAGGAATTAACATAAATGTAATTCCTGGTAATAACTGACATATTGTTTAATAAGAATTATGTAATATGTGACACATTATAAATCTTATATTTAAGGATAAAAATATTATAAATTATTAATACCTTAAATAGAAGTGTAATCATAATTCTGTTTATATGACATGTGATGGAAACTATAAATTGTTTTTTGGTGCTTTATGTTTCTATTTTCTAAATTTTCCAAAATAATATTTACTTATATAAATAATATATTTACTAATATAAGTTGAAAAAATTCAAGTATTATAAAATATAATTAGGAATATAAAAATAAAAAAGTAAACAATAATTACCCAAAAATAGGAATTATATAGGTTAATAATATACTTAAATTTTCTATGTAATTTTAGGATTAATATTTACATAAATTAATTATATATTTACTAAGTAAAAATGAAAATTATTATTTAAAATGTAAAATAAAAACAGAAAAATGAAAAATAATTATCCCAAAATATAAATTACATAAATAAATAATATAATTGAATTTATAGTATATTACCAAAAAGAATTAGTTTATAAAAGTTATAATTTAACACTATTATTCCTCACAGCTTTGCTTTCATGCTTTTTTTATGATGGCAAATCACATAAGTTTTATTTGGGTCGGCAAAGCAGTGCTCTTATTTAAAGAGTGATTTAATTATGTGGGCAGTCAAATGTGAGTTTTTTAAAATTGTTATTTCTCTAATTGCTTCTAATAAATTTTTTATTATTTGTATGATTATTAAATTCTCTTTTTACATTTAATAATTTTAATTATTATTATGATTATTAACATCTCTTTTTATATTTAATAATTTTTATTATTATTATGATTATTAAATTATCTATTTATATTTAATAATTTTAAGTATTTAATAATAATGAATATTTAATATTATGTACTTTGTTGGCCAACTCAAGCTTTATTTTCTAACATTACATAACCAAAATCTAAACATAAAATCTTGATTGGAGTGTTGGAAATAGAGAAGTACCTCCAAATACCCCTAATAACCAAAATCTAAACATAAAATCTTGATTGGAGTGTTGGAAATAGAGAAGTACCTCCAAATACCCCTAACAACCAAAGTCTAAAGATATAACCTTGACTGGAGTGTTGAAAAGGAGAAGTGGCTCCAAATAGCCCTCCAGGCTTGAGGGGAATCTAGAGAGACAGAGAGAGGGAGAGGGAATTTCGTAAGAATATAATGGTTAGCATTATTTACAAGCGTCTAATTTCGGGGTTTAAATGCCCGAAAGAATGAATATTCTTTACAACAACTGAAGAGAGAGAGTCTCTCTTCTAAATCTGGGGGTCCCCTGTCCCAACCTTGAGGAACTGACCCTAAAGTTCTCTCTCTCTCTCTCTCTCTCTCTCTACGTCCTGCCAAATCAGCGGCCTTGCTAAATTAAGCGCCGATGCGCGTTCCTTTCTGATGCGATTGGGGTGTTTCTACGATTGCCTGAACGGAAACCCTAATTCACGAACGCAAACCCTAATTGGCAGTTGTAGATGTAATGGGATGTCGCCTGCAAATTGTAACGTCTTTGCTGGTTGATCAGGTAATGCAGATTCTTCTGGGGAATTGTCTTCTTGTTTTTTTTCTGCTTCTTTTTTGGGTTTTTGGTGACCTGGTCGGATTTGGGTTCGGCTGTCACGGAGAAGGCTAGAAATGGAGTTAATTAGGGGTTCAGAGTGCTTTATGAGTGTAAAATTGGTATCTTTTGTATACTGTGCAATTCAACAGATGATTGTTGAATGATCATTGGAATAAAAGATTGTGAATTTTGGGTGTGAATGGACTTTTTCTGGACAAATGAGGAGAGTGATCTCAATATATCCTGGTTAAAAGCTGGAATTTAGCTTGTTAGGGTTTTAGCGCTATTGTTTTTGTCGTATCTAATGATTTTCTTATATTTTTTTGGGTCACAAGTTTTATTTTTTCAGTTATTTAGTTTTTTATGTGATGCTTCATTTCTCTTCTTTTATTTGTGCTTTTATCAGCATGCAATTTTAGTGAATTAAAGTAAAATGAGGTTCTTGTTAAGAACACTATTATCTACTGAGTTTTTCCTTTCCAATTTTAGTTGAATTAGTATATCGTGTTATTCAATTATCTTATAGTGTTTGTATGACGGCTGAGAAGTTAGATAACTCAAGAGCATTGTTCCAAAACGCGGCTCTCGCTTGGGCACCCGCCTGAAGGGCATTTTTGGGTTGTTTTATATCGCCTAGGCTGGACACTAGGTGCCTAGCGCCCAGCCCTGGGCAGCCCTCAGGGTCTGGGTCTAGGGGTGGCAATGGGTCGGTCCCGGTGGACCCGGACTCAGACTCAAATATTATTCGGGTCCAGGTTTTGGACCCGGACCCGACTGCAAAAGTTGGACCCATACCCATATCTGTCGGGTCCCGGGTCTATCCTATCGGGTCCCAGGCCTAGTCGGGTCCATTGCCACCCTCACTATGAGTTTCTTTAATTTTTTGGCCCTTTTTTTACCATCATATTACCCATATTATTGCAACAAGATCACAAATCACCTGCCATTAGATTTCAAGCGATCTGATTTGTCGTTTAATACTTAAAGATGACTACGAGTTCTTATAGTATACGATCCTTAATTCACCCAAACGAATAGGACTTGAAGTATTTCATCTCCAACAGTTTACGGGTTCGGGTCGGGTCCATCAGGACCCGGAATAGTGTCCGGATGCAAGTTTTGGTCCAAATGTTGGACCCATACCCAGACCCGTGTTGGGTATACCCGGCAGGTCCTGGGTCGGGCTTGGGTCCATTACCACCCCTACTTGCATCCTGCCCAAGGGCGAAAATGCCCATTGTTGAGGGGCATTTTTGGGTTGTTTTATAAAAACAAGGTGGGAAAAAGTGCCCAAAGGTGGGGTTTAGGGAGCCCATTTTAGAGAGATATAAACCTCAAAAAACCAGATTTTTGTGATTTCCAACCTTTTCAAACCTAAACCCCATTAAAAGGTGAGGTATGGGACTGTAGAGTGCATGGAGTTTGGATTATGGTATGGACTATGGATGTGGTGTAATGCCTAATGGTTTGAAGTTTAAACTTCAAAGTTTGATTTTTTAGTTTGAAATGCGTGGAATTATGGACTAAAATGTTTCTCAATATGTATTTTTTAATTTTTTACACTTTTTAGAACAACTTTTTATTCTATTGGGCTGCCTGAGTTCTGGGTCCCTTGCTTAGGCCACCCCCCCTCAGCGCTGGGCGGTCTGAACCCCCTTGCCACCTAGGCGCCGCCCAATGTTTTTTAGAACATTGCTCAAGAGTGAAACCCAGAACGAGCTGAAGCAACTCGGCTAAATTAGTGTAATAGGAAGTTATAGTGATATAGTGATACTTTTTGAGATAAAGATAGAAGTCACAAGCTAAAAAATTTTGTGGTGAACTTTCTCTTTACTATTTTCAAAATTTGTAGTTACTTTTTGTATACCCTTCAGTTGAACTGATAGTTATTTACATACAAAAAAAATAAAAAATAAAAAGCAAAAGTGTTTGTATCAAGTTTTGAGTTTCTTCCTGTACTTGAAATATCTAAAAATTTGATCTCAAATAGGTATCAAAATATTTTTTTTGAATACAAGCTCAATTGTTTACCAAGCTATTGTTAGTCATCTAGAAGCTCGAATAGGTTTTAGTTTTATTTGATTATGGTTGGTCATCCCATAATGCACAGGTACTAATCCTTGTTTTTTTTTTTGGTGATGATAGTTGACATTTGTTGACGAATAAATATGTGGAGTACACATACTCTTTCAGGTTTTAGAGAATATTGGTTTCACACTATTAAAACTTTGTCACATTTGCTTCTAAATGTCATCATCATCATCATCATAGTCTTTTTCCCAATTAATTGGGGTTCGCTATGCGAATCTTGGTCCGCCATTTTGCTCTATTAATTTAAGGGCCATACCTTTAGTGAGGCCATGAGCCCCATATCTTTTCTCAGTACTTCCAACCATGTCCGTTTGGGCCAACCCTTGCCGATTTGTTTTTAAATGTATTTAATGTATTATGGTTGGGGCTCTAGTTGCATGTCGCCCTTGCTTTACTTTCTCTCCCCCCCCCCTCGCTCTCTCTGTCCTCTTTTCATTTAGCATTTCCATGTTTCATTTGTACAAAGTGCCTTTTTAGGTTTGGCTCCAAGAAACACAACCCAAGTTCTTTATGTTATGACGCTAGAACATGGAGCTCTCATCATTTGAATTCCTATCTTATGGGGGTTCCTCATCATATTTGTAACCTTCATGAATTTCCATTAAATGGCAGATTTTTTTTATTTTTTTGGGTCGTGCATTAAGTGTCCTGGTAGGCTAGTGCGCTATGTCATTTTTCTATCTTTATTATACTTACCAGGATTGACAATGTTGAACATACATATAAATGTACAAATATTTGTTGAATGAAATTGATTGAAGGTTCCAAATTCTATTGGGTTTCTATTTGATATATTGGTTTCTTTGGTTTACAGGTAGGTCATTTACACTTGCCATTCAAGCGCTACACGCTATTGGCCTCAAGTTTGGATTTTGGTCATGTAGTAGTTTATGGGTTCTCTTTGGGTTACCTTCCTTAGGGTTTAGATTTTCTGATCCTTGAGATAATTGAAAGATGGCTTCTAATGCAAGGTTTGATGTGGCTTCAAGTAGTCCAGAGGGGTCTACTTTCACTGCAAACTACCAAAATGGGCAGCGAGGGGCCTTCTCCGTTCCTGTAGACAGATCAGGTAGTTTTCATGAGAGTATTGAGGGTAGGGTAATGAATAGTGGATCAAACGTGACAAGGGGTGGCATGCTGCCTCATTCAGAGATGCCCCCCCCTTTGTCACAATGTCTTCCATTGGAGCCATTATCAATGGGCGAGCAGAAATTCTCACGACAAGGAGAATTGAAGAGAGTTTTAAGTGTTTCTCTTGGCATCACATCAGAGGATTCTTCATTTGGGGCTGCTCATAACAAGCCCATGTCTGCGGCAGCTATTGAGGAATTGAAGCGTTTTAAATCTTGCATCCTTGAGAACACTTCTAAAGCAAGGTACTTGCCTTTTCTCTTTCTAAGAAATTGATGAATTTGACATATTTCCTACTGCAAGAAATAATTCATTGTTTTTAATATTTTGAGACACACACACACACACACACATGGAAGCACTCACACATCGCACGTGCATGCGCATACACACATATATAGAGAAATTTACTGGGAAATCTTGTTTTATTTTCAAGTCCCACTTTTTGAGAGCATAAATTGTAGCTTAATTTTATTGCTTTTTCTGTACATCAGATTACTCAAATTTGGTATCCCGATACTTCTCACCATCACACACATATAAAAAATATTTAAAAATAGTTAAAATAATAAATGACCAACATACCTCTAGAATATTCAAGGGTATTTTAGTAATTTTAGTTATATTAAATTATATGGTGATAAAAATGCCAAATTTGTGCTTAATCCTATATGTAGATTACAAATTTTTTTTTTGTTGTGCTTAATCCTATATGTAGATTAAACAATAAGATTCAAATACACTTTATGCTCTCAAAAAGGGGACTGGAGTGTAAAATGATTAATAATAGATGGGATTATTTTTATATGTTGAAAATAAAATAGGATTTTTCTGTATACGCACACACACACTCTCATCTTAGCATCCAAATCAAAAAAAGTTTTTGATATGCACCCTAGAAGTGCCACACCAATGGTGAAAAGAGACCGTCTTGTTATGGGCAGTCAGTCCAAGGTCTTAGAGAACTCAAATTCATTTTTTTTTTAATTGTTAATCTGGTGACGGTGACACAATAAAAAAAAATTTACGTTCAAATGAATCGCCCCAAGGCCTTCATCTAGCACCATTTTAGAACACCTAAAATGTACAGCCCATAATCACTGCTTTATCTTTCTAATAATAATTAAAAAAAAAAACGTTTCCTAGGCTTTTTCTTCAAAGTTTTTCATGATCTTGTTCATTGGATGTAAGAGAGCATGTGCAAAATTTGGGTCCAAACAATTGTCTCCAAGGCCCTAAAAAATGGTGGGGTCTGCCAGTCCGAATATATATATTTTTTTCCAAAATATAGATTTTGTGTGTTAGAGAGGGAGGGAGGGAGGCAGATACATTTATGTTCATATGTGTCCTAGAGTATATATGTGGTTCATTCAGGACAATAGCCACAATTTTAATTAAAAAATAGTAATGACTAATTTTTAAATGTTTGTAGTGTGTTTGGGGGAACTTCTAGAGTTTTGGGGCCTTACGTATGATGCTGACGGTCAATGCTTGGCATTTTGGGATGCATAATTGCATTCCCTATATAATGCGAAGCATGCAAATAAGTGGTGTTTTGGATTCTACTGAAAGTGGTCGTCACCCTTCTTTTCAATTGTGTGGCACCCAATCTGGGGTCGCTGCTAACCCATTATGCCCAATAGCCAATACATATCTTTAAAAAAGCCTTAATTAAATCATGATTTTCTTGGCCAAATATAAATGTATGTATAGCTTGTTCTAGTAACTCTGAATTTAAAGCAATGGGGCACCCCTAGAAGGCTAAATGTGTCCACTTGTGAAATATCTAAACATTGTCATGTTTACAAAATGGGCAACCCTAGAAGGAGAAATGTTTCCACTTGTGAATATCTTAACACTGTCATGTTTACAAAATGACCATAATGTCCTCTTACCAATGGAATGAATATTATGATATTAATTCAGTAGATATTTTTTAATGTTGATAGTTATTTTTAGATACTCATTTGTAGCTGAAGATAATTAAATCTTTTGACCAGGGAAAAAGCAAAATTTTTTGGGAACTGTCTGTCTAAATTGGACAAATATCAGCACACTATCTTCTCTAGGAAGCGGCTACGAAATGAAAATTCATTGAATGAAAGGTCATGCACATTACTACCCGGGGATCGATCAGTTTCTAGTGCAAATTTGATGAAGATGGGAACACAGGGTCATCAAACTCCGAGCAACTCAGAACTTACTTCTCCAAGATCGGAAGATCGGAGTAAAAATGTTCTAAATAAGCGTGTTCGGACATCAATGGTGGATGTACGGGTTTGTATTTATTTACTTTTGTAGAGGATCACGGATTCAGTTATTATTCTCTACCTCTGTTTGATATGTACGTTGGAGCAATCTACCAGTTTCCACTTTAAAGTGTGTTTTATCCCTGTATTTTGTAGTGTGTTCATCCACATCTGAAGTGCTCTTCTAACATTCATCTCCCTGAATTTTTTTTTTTTTACTTTATGTAATGGTTTTTGTCTCTCATCTCTTCTTTGTATTTCCTAGCCACACACTAAAATATCTTCGACCTCTTTCATTTTCTTATACTCATTTTCTATTTTACAATGGATATCTAAGATATGGGATGCTAAGTCGGTATTAGTTTATTGAAATGAAGAGTATAATGTGTAGTTCCCTTTTGCAAAGTCGTTTGGATTCTGCTTTACATTTGCTGGTTAAATTTTAAGTCCTGGTTCAATATCTTGGAAACCTAATCATATTTCGTTGATTTGCTCCAGACAGAAGGGCGTGGTGCTGGTTTGTCTAGGCCAGCTGGGTCCACAGATAGGGAAAAGGATGCCCTGAGGTCTGCAAATGTTAGTGGTTCAGAGCATTCTGAGGAAAAAGCTCGGGTACTGCTGACTGGTGGGGAAAGTTGGGATAAAAAAATGAAAAGGAGGCGCTCTGCCATCAAACCAGAAGTTTCTACTGCTGCAGTAGTGAATAGGTCCCTGGAGGCTGATCGTGAACTCAAGAAGGGTTTGCAGCAGAGACTGAATAATGAGACACGGTCAAGACTGAGTGATGTCCATGGCTTTAGGTGAAAAATTGCATGCATTTTTTCTCCTATTTATCTCATGTTGCAGCTGTCATTTTGTGACATCAAGCTCTTGAACTATGCTTGCTATCATTGCCTTGTATTTCTTTTTGTAAAGGTCCTCTGCTTTCTTCACCATTAAAACCATGATCCTTCCATTGTATGATAATTTCCTTGTAATCGCGTTCAACAATGTGTTGATGTATTTCTTTTGAACCTAAGCGACTCTCGCAGATCTGGATCTTCCAATGGAATTGTTGGCACCAACAAGTTGGATGGGACTGCACAAACGAGTGTTATGAGTGTTCGTGCCGCACCCAAGAATGACCTGGACAATTCAAACCTCTCTAATGAGAGAAGGGACCGAATGGCTGGGGCAGATAAAGAAAGAGTTATTGTCAAGGCGGCAAATAAGTATGTATTTTCACTTGCCTTTTAATGATGTAGATTGGCAATTTATCAATGCAAACCATCATGTTATGCATTCAGTCCCAGAATATGAGTTATATTATCTATAAATTGGGTTGCGATAATATCGTCACCTTAGGGTGTAGCTTCCAAGGCAATTTTTGTTTTGTTGAAAATTGTCTTACTTTATATGATGGGAAAGTATTCTGTAATCCTCTGCACAATGGAACAAACATTGTTCATTGGGTTATTACTTTCCATTGAAATGTACTGTGATTTAGAGTGGACCCGCCAGAATAGGAGATGTCTCCAATGATGGGCTCCATTACCGGTCCATTACTTTGGTGGATGGGATGACCCATTGGAATGAATGTACCAAGTTATTGTATATTTCCACTTATGTGGTTCATATCATGGAGTATTTTGAGCCTCTCTTTTATATCTCTGTCTTTGTTCCTTCCTTTCCAGGGCGAACATTAGGGACGACAGCTCGGCAGGTAGCCCTACTCCAGTGACCAAAGGAAAGGGTTCTAGAGCGCCACGTTCTAATGCCGGCGCCTTAAATAGTTCTTCCCCTAATTTTCCTCGTGCATCTGGAGCTCTCGAAGGTTGGGAGCAACCTTCGTCCACAAGTAAGGTCCAAGCCATTAGTGCGGCCAACAATCGCAAGCGCCCGATGCCTGCAAGGTCACCTTCACCTGTAACTCAGTGGGCTCGTCAAAGGCCACAAAAGATGTCTCGTATTGCTCGAAGATCAAATTTGGTCCCTCCTGTTTCAATCCGAGATGATTCTCAGATATCGTCTGAGGGGTTTGCAGCTTCTGATGTGGGAACCACAAGAGTGGCTTCTATGGAAGCTACTGGACCAGGAGTTGGGAGACGTGCGTCGAACAGTGCCCAACAAGCTAAATTAAAGTTTGACGTCATCTCTTCCCCTGCTGGAATATCAGAAAGCGAGGAATCGGGGGCTGCTGAAAATAAGCTGAGGAAGAAGAATGGTGAGATGGAGGACAAAGCTCTCAATAAGGTATCAACCATTGCATTGTCTTCAAAGAAGAATAAGATTCTTTCGAAAGAAGATTCTGGGGATGGTGTGAGGAGACTAGGAAGGAGTGGAAGAGGTGTGGCTCCTTCGAGAACAGGCCCATCTTTAATGAGGGAAAAGTTTGAAAACACAGTTTCAATGAATCAGCTGAAGAGTACACGGCCTGGTTCTGATAGGATTGAAAGGTGTGAACCATTTCTTCACCTTGCTTTCTAGTTTAGCTTCACTAGCATTTTGATGTTACTGAATAACTCCTTTCATGATAAGTGAAATATTGTCTTTGTTTGTTTCAGTAAGACAGGATCTGGACGCCCGCCTTCTAAGAAATACTCGGACCGTAAGGCATTTACTCGTCCAAAGGATGTTCTTAATAGTGGTTCCTCGGAATTTGCAGGTAGTCTCCATATGCTATAGAGAGAGAGTTGTGCCAGTTTTTCTTAGGTCCATTGGACAATGAAAAATCATAGTCCTTTGAGATTATTTGACTCTTCATTGAAATGATGGATGGATGAAGAGAGAGTGGGCCTGTATTGTTATCACTCACTCTGCACCATTATTCATTGGACATGTAACCCCTGTGCATGTCGTGCTTCTATAGCCCAGTGGGCCATAGTATATTTTTTCTTTTCTTATTACCATTTTCCATAGAAAGTCCTGTATAATGTTTGGGTATATGGGGCCATCAACTCGTTTTCTGTTCTATTTGCTCAGGTGAATCAGACGATGATCATGAAGAACTGTTAGCAGCTGCTGATTCAGCCATCAATGCCGGTTGTATGTGGAACACGATATTTCTTTCGGAAATACATGACACATGATGTGTATGCTATACAGTACCATTTGTACACACATTCCTGATGGATATTAAGGCAATAGACTGGTGTATCTCCACTGTCCATCTTGATAACAAATGGTTGATGGCCTACATGTGCATTGTGTAGCATACACATCATGTTTGTTTTTTATTTTCTCTTATTGTGCCATTTTTCCATCTTTCTTATGAATCTCTTTCCTTGTGATGATAACCCCATAACAGTTTTAGTTGCTTCTGCAGATCGTGCTTGTTCAAGCCCATTTTGGAAGCAAATGGAGCCAATATTTGCTTTTGTCACTGCAGATGACTTGGCATACTTGAAGTATCAGGCAATGATTTCTATATGCTTATATATGAATATCTTCATTTTTGAGCAATGAAAAGGTAGCCCTTTGACAAGTTTCTGATGAATTTATTGGGAATTATGAGAGCAGATAAAGCTTGTGGACGAGTTTGATGGAAGCGTTTGTAACCCCTTGGTCCCTGATCAGATTGGAAAGGTAGGAACTTTTAACTTCTTTTTATGGTTATGGCAAACGTCTGGATTAGTTCATTATTAATTGTTCACTTGTATCACCTTACATCGTCTATTCTGTAGTCTGTACAATGATCGTCCCTTTCTGTGAATTTTATTCTCTTCTAAACTGCTATGATGTTTTATTCTCTTCTAAACTGCTATGATGAAGTCTTACTCTTTGCTCTAAGTGTAATAGACGGCAAAGGGGAAACGTATTAGTATTCAGTAGTTCATGAAAAACCATATACCGCTGGTGGTCATGACTGTTGACTGAGTGGGACCAACCATTCGGATCATGTCATGTTGTGGTTGGGTCCCACTCTAGATCGACAGTTTCAAATGGATGGTGATGACTAATGAATTAAAGTTCTACCATTGATTGTATTATGGTATACTTTCTCAAGTGATAGTGTGGTTGTTGTTGACTGAGACTTTTGTCCTTAATGATAGGATGCAAATGGATGCACTGTAAACCCATCATCTCCAGCTCTTTCTTCAGGAGATAAACAAGTGGTTCTACATAATGAAGTTTGTCCTAATGAATCTGGTAGAACTGGGAGTTCTGTGGACGAGTCACTGGATTTTGAGGCCTTGCCTAAGAAACTTGGAAGGGACCGATGGCTGGAGAAGATGATTCCACTTTCACAGAGACTCATTGCTGCTCTGATTCATGAAGATGACTTGGAAGAGTATAACCCCCCTTGTCGACAAGATGATGAGCCTTTTCAGTACACCAGTGATGATTCTCCTTGTGGTACAGGTAGCCATATTGAAAGTGAATCCAAAGATGCCGACAAAATGGAATCTGAGATTGAGTCAGAAGCAGACCTTAAAAATCAGAGACCTCACTCATTGGATAGCTTTTCTTGTGATGGGAGTACTGCTTCTAATTGTTTTAGAAGCCCCAATTTCCGGAGTCACCTTAATAATGGTGATTCATTGCAGGACGATGATATTGTGGTCCATTCAGAGATTGGGATTGTTACTGAAAATCATTTGGATGATTTGCAATGTATTCAAACAGTGATTTCTGGCACCAGTTCAAATGAGTCTCAATACCAGCAGTTGTGTTTGAATAGTAGAATCTTGTTGGAGCTTCAGAGTATTGGTTTATTCCCAGAATCTGTGGTAGGTGTTATACTGTTGGGGTTTTTCACCCCCCTAATCGACCGCTATACCCTTAGTTTAGTCTGTCAAAATGTTTTTCCACACTGATGGTCTGGTATTTGGGGTAGTCTGTAATCTCTTGACAAGATTTATTTTGATGGTAGCAATTTGTGGTTTCTCATGCACTTCTTTCTTAATGGTTTTTTGCTTTCATTTCATATCAGCCTGATCTGGCACAAGGAGAAGATGAAATTGACAAAGATATCTTTGAACGTAAAGAGGAGATTTACCAACAGGTTCCGTTTTCTTGTTCGGTATTTGCTTCATTTATCTAGCTGTTTATGATTGCAGTGTGGCATAATCTTCATTCAGACGACTTGATCGTTAAGTAGTGGAGATTGTCCCCTGTTCCTCCTTTTTTATGTCTGGTGTAGGCATAGATCAGTAAATATTACATCTTAGAAAAATGTGATTAGTAGTTTGGCTATACGATTACATAAAAGGCATAGGATTTTTTAGCTAGTAAATTGTGGTGCTTGTCAATATGTAGAACCCCGTTGGTTCTATGTGATATTATTATATTTGTGCCCTCGACATTATATTTTCTAGTAGTTATTTGTTGATTTCTTCAGGAAAGTTTCATAAGTTTATGATTTTGGTGTAATAGGTGAGGAAAAAGAAAAACCAGTTGTGCAAATTAGAGAGAACTGTCTTGAAAAGGAGAGAAGTGGAAGAAAGGTAACCACTTTTTCTTGAAGACACTACTTGATTTGGAAATTCTTGAATTAAAACTCAATTTGGTTTGATTTGTAGGGACCGTGAGCGGCTTGCTATGGACAAACTTGTTGAGATGGCCTACTGCAAGCATATGGTGATCTTTTCCTGCTCTCTATTTTATAGCAATTAGAATATCAGTTGTTTCTGAAATCTAGTATGAGCCATTACATAGTTTCGCAAAAATTACATTTGCGAACTGCATTTTGATTGTTCATATTCATCATTAGGCATCGCATCTCGTAAATCGTTAATGAGTGGTTCAAACATATGCGGGAGGTTGATCAATGATCCTTGTTTGTTCTTCTGCATTTCGTTCTTCAGTGTCTTACCGATGTTCATTTTCTTGGTCTATTGTTAAAAATTATAGTCTTTTGAATGAGATGGACATCTTTAGTTTTCTGATTTATCCTTATGAGATGAAATTTTTTTTGAACTATAATGGGAGGTCCTCATTTTGGCAGGGTTGTCGAGCAAATGCTTCGGGTAACAAGAGTGGGGCCAGTAAGATTGCTAAACATGCTGCCTTAGCTTTTGCTAAAAGGACACTTGCCAGGTGCCGAAAATATGAAGATACCGGTAGGAGCTGCTTTAGTGAACCTGCATTCAGAGATGGTATTCTCTTCCCCCCTTTACTCGGCAATGACGCAACTTATCTTGGAGATGGGAACCCGGCAAATCTTGACACTGAGGCATTAGGTGTGGTTCTTCAAATGCTTATTCAAATGCCTCTCTTTACTAGGTTTTATGGTCTTGACTGGCTTTCTATAACTTAATAGTATCAATTGTATTGTTCGCTTTTTCTTAATTTGGTTCTCATCTTGCTACTTGGAATGATGGCTATGCTTAATGCATTTTAGCTGTGGAACAACCTGCCAATTCTATGCAATTTATTGGTGTCTATCTGCAGCCGCAGGTCTTATGCCTTCAGGTCATGTTACACGTCTAGTAGAACCTCGTGATAACATAGAAAAGGATTCACCTGATTCATTTCAAGCCCTTGTTACATCATCTGGAGAACCATTTGCAAAAGATGAGCCATGGTCAAATAGAGGGAAAAGGAGGGAAGTGTTTCTTGATGATGTTGGTTGTGCCAGTACCCCGAGGGCAACGCCTAGTCTTTGCGACTCTCTCATGGGCGGAGCAAAAGGGAAGAGGAGCGAGAGAGATAGAGATCACAAGGACATATCAACAAGAAGTGGGACTGCTAAAAGTGGTCGCCCATCTTTAGGTAGTGTCAGGGGTGAAAGGAAGACAAAGACCAAGCCGAGGCAGAAGACAGCCCAATTATCAGCCTCTGTTAATGGGCTTCTTGGCAAGATTCAAGAGGACCCAAAAGGTACTTCGCCTGCTCTTCCCCAATCGAGTGAAAAGGATGGCAACAAAGCCAAAGGACTAGTTGCTTCTTCACGCCTTGGTAATCACGCTTCGAATTTGCCACATGACACTGAGGGAGCTATTGACTTAACGCACTTGCAACTTCCAGGGATGGAAGAACTAGGTGTAGCTGATGATTTGGGTGCTCAAGGTCAAGATCTAAGCTCTTGGTTTAACTTTGATGATGAGGGTTTGCAAGATCATGACTTTATGGGTTTAGAAATTCCCATGGATGACCTCTCAGAGCTGAATATGATTATGTGAGGAATACTGATGTACATTCTTGTGCAGTACTCTAGGGTCCAGATAATGCATATTTAACATTGTTATCAGGATATGACCAACTACTGAAGCTAGCAACAGCTGGTCAGAGCTCATTAATATGACACTTGATTCTTTTATAGGCTTCTGCAATGAATATGTAGAGTGACAAAATATGTTTGATGCAATCTTGAGGATTTTTACTACTGGAACGGATCTCATCATTGCTCATGAAGGAAACTTTCTCCCATGAACTAGTATCTTGGGCCTTGTATCTTTTCCAAGCACTGTTCCTCATTGTACAGTGCAGAGTGTATAATATCTAAAATAACCTTGAGGTTTTAAATTTTGTTGTCATGATTGGTATGTATCAATTTTCAGATATGGAAATACATGCATGGGGTGTTTGCTGTTGTGGCCTTGTGTTGATGTGCTCTAGTGATGCTTTGTCATGCTCTCATAAAAATCATAAAATAAAGTGGTCATTCTCTCTCTAGATTTCTATATGCTTGATGGTTTCTATAGTCCCTGTCTCTTTTGGATGGTTTACTCAAGTTTCTATCTTGAATATAAAAGAATTTCATTGCATTCTTAATAGTCACCTGCTGTAGCTTTCATGGTGCTGATTCTTTTGACCACATTACTACTATCTCGTTTTGCAGGGGTTTTAATTGGGCGGGCATTGTCATGGGCCCCTAACATGTTTTTGAAAAGGAAAAATTAAGCATTTATGGTCGTGGGTCCTAACATTACTATTGCTTAGTCATTATTGCAATACTATTATCTTGTGTTCTAAGCAATGTCTCGTTTTCTTAATGCTTCTCGTATTGTTTTGTTCCTCCTGCAGCTTTTTTGGTAATTTTTTCTATTTTTATTGATATTGGAAGCAAACGTTTTTGCTATATGCCCTGAGTGTTTGATTCATGGTAAAACTTCTAAAAATGTTATAGGATTATAACTCAAACCTCCAATAGGTGTTCATCAACATCATCAGAGCCTTTTACCAACTATTTGGGGTCAGCTACAAAAATCTTGGTCCACCATTCTGCTCTTTCAAGGGCCATACCCTCAGTGAGGGCATAAGTCGCCACATCTTTATTCACTACTACCAACCATGCCCTTTTGGGCCTACCTCATGCCTTTTTTGAACTTTTCACTTGAACCAACTCTCACCTCCTAATAGGTTATGATAGGACTAAACAGTGTTTCAGAAAATGCTAGGTGGTGCCTAGGCGGCCGGGGGGGTTTTGGCCGCCCACCGCCTAAGCGGGCGTCCAGAACCTGGGCGGCCCAGGAATGCCTGTCTCTCATCTTTTTTCATTTTTACAGGACTCATAAATTTTTTTATCTCCTTTTTAATTGCATCAGAAGCTTTTTTACATGGGGGTAACATCCCCTTTGATACTGGCAAGATGTTTCTTGAACCGGTTTATACCCTATTTTGATCCTTTTCACAAAACTTATATGTTATGCCATTTTTATTCAAAAGATTCGGGTTGTAGCCATATTTCCAACCCGGATCACCACTTCTATTAGATCCCGAAGAAGACATCTCAAACTGATGCAAGCAATAAAAAAAAAATCACTATCTTTGATTGCCCGATCTTCAAACTTCCACCTTTAAGATGTTTTTGAAGACTCAAAATCTTTTTAAAAAAACTCTCGAACAGATTTATAAAACATCCAAAACTAAATCTAATATCACTGGGTGTGATACTTAGATCAATTTTTCGTAATTTTGAGAAACCCTTTGATCCTATGGAAATCACCAAAAACTAGTTTTTTTGGGTTTTTCTCTCTCTGAAATAGACTCTATTGGGATTTAGGTTTCAAATGAACCTAAACCCCTCGATTTTGCCCCTTTTATATTTAAAAAAAGAGCAAAAACTGCCCTCAACAAGGGGCATTTCCGCAAGCGGGCGCCCAGGGACAACCCACCTAATTTGGCCACTTAGGCTTGGGCACATCGCCTATGCGCTGTATGGTCCGCTTTTTAAAACAATGTGACTGAACATAGAAATAATTTGATTATGGCTGCAAGCTTTGTCTTTTAGTTCTTTTGTATCTCAGGTTTTTGATTCGTGGTGAAGATTGTAAATTTTATAGGCAATGACATGATGCTGTTGCTTTTAAGAGAATTATGGGCATTCTGGAAGTCCTCACAGGCCTTTAATTGCTTTTTCGCATAAAATTATTTAGTGAATTTTGCCAGTTTGCTCCCATATGCCAATGAGATATTCTATGTTTTTATGGGTTTTATTGTAAACAATCCCCAGTTTGTTTCACTCTGGAATTATTTGTAAATTTCATGGTAAATAATATGATAAGGAATTAAACTGCCTGAATGATAGAAAAAGAGCCCTTATGTGGGCCAGAGTATTTTGAGTTTAATTTTTTTTTTGATAAAGTTAACATTGTTAAATTTTTCTTTTTTTTTTGGAAGCTTTGAGTTTAAATTTTCCTTTTTTGCTTAATTGGACCAAAGACTGTTTTGCCGCGTAGCTCCCCCGCCCCTTCACCCCTTCCCTGCAGAAAGGGTCATAACCACCAAGGAAAATTTGGTATAAGTATGTCAAATGGAGCACTTCTATGTTTTTTAGGCAACGTTTCTGTACTAGGGAAATTCATAATGGGTAGTTTGAATTATTTGATCTCTCTTTGAACCTCTAACAATCTTCATGCTGTTAGTGCTTATTGTCTAGTTGTCTCGCGCGTCCTCATAAGGACTAAACTGAACAGGCTGGTTGGAGTTGGACTGATATAGACCAGAATCAGCTTGTTTTCTGTACTCGCCAAATTGGTGTAAATGGTTGAAGTAGGTGCCTGAGGTCCCTAGATAGTATTCAGTGTCTTGATCAATGTAGCGTTTTTCGAGTTCTGCAATCCTGAGAGTGTTGCTAATGTTGTTTTCTCGAAAGTACAATTCGTTCATCAAACAAAATATGAACTCTAAGTTGTACTCAAAGACTTTAAATAAACAGAGACAAGGTGGCTGCTAATGTAAATAATGCCTTTGTTTTGTGCATATATAAGCCCATGTACATTTTACCCGGTAAACAACACATCCAATAACAGAATATTGTGAAGGGCACTTTGGTGACCAGTGTACTATTATAGATCACCCAATGTACACATGCTGCAACTAGTACCTCTTGAAATAAATGCTTACATACATATAGTGCAAGAGCATTTTACAAATGAAGAGAAAAGAACATTTAGTGATTTAAGAGATGCTTCTCTTTGGAATTATTAAGTGTTACATTCTTAACTAAATCTGCGGCCTATAAAGAATGCAATTATGTTATCCACCTGCATATAGTTGATTCTAGATGTTCAACTTTTTCTCTTAAATTAGTTATTTTCTTATTTATTTATTTATTTATTTTTGTGTTTCTTGTCCTATTTTCTTTTATGAATACAACATCTTACTGGTATGAATAAGCATTCATAAAAAGCTCTATGTATGCTTCTACTTCAAATGATTAGCTGGCAGATCTGAAAACTAGTTTGTGATTTTCATGGTTGTCATATGTAGCTGGTAGTATTGAAAATTGGATTGTGATTTGCATGGTTGTCATATGTACATATTCCAATATTGGATGCTTAGATGATTGCATGTTTTGCATTCTATTGCAGAGATATTATTCTATTGTTATTTTTTTTCTTTCCAAGCTGTGATGTATCTCCTTTCTCCTTGTATGCAAAAAGTATTTGCTTAGGATATAGTGCTATGTTATTGCTTCAGTTCCTTCAACTTTCCATCTAGTGTTTTTGAACTTTTGATACCTGATTTTCCTATTCTCCCTCCAGTTTTCATTCTTATGGTCTTTGACCTACACATAATGTTTGTCTTTATGATATCGACCACCCTTTGGTTTCCTTCTCCTTTGTGATCTGACTAGATAGAACAATCATGAAAATGCAGTTTTCCTGCTGTGAGAGAAAAAAATTTATATGATCAGGCGATGATTTTGTGCTTAATGCAATTATTTTTCTAAGAATACAAAAATCCATGCCCATGTCCGCAATCTTTGTTACCAACTATATGTTTGCATATCATATATTCAAGATGGTTGGTCCTATGATCTATTTTGTGCTTGGTTATGTCAGAAAGGTTATGCATGACATTTCTCATTGAATGTTCCACTTGAGTTATAACCACATTTCTCATTCTAGAGATCACGTGGATAGTTGATGAGTTGATCTAGGTTACATTCTTGCATCTTCATTTATGAAGTTATGGGAATGAAGAACGAAAATGTAGCTCTGCAAATTTAGAAAAATTCCTGATTACTATTGAAAAATTTGTAGTAAACTAGTAATGAACAAAATTTGTACAAGAAGATTTGGAAACTGTCTCTTTGTGTGATTAAAGTTTTGGTAAATAATCGAATTGACATGGAAATGAAGAAGGAAAATGTAGCTGCAAATTTAGAAAAATTACTGATTACTATTGAAAAATTTGTGGTAATGAAAAAATTTGTACAAAAAGATTTGGAAACTCTCTTTGTGTGATCAAAGTTTTGGTAAATAATTGAATTGACATGGAAAGTTCAACTGTCTTGATCCATTGCATGTTTTGTAATTAAACTTCCTAGTTGTTATGTTCAAACATAGTGCAGGGTTGGATAGAAAATTGACATCTACAAATGGTTAGATATATCAATGATATTCGGCATAAAATATAAAAGTTTCGCAAATGAACAGCTCATGTTCTGGAATCTGGATTGCTTTGGAATTTTGGCTGCTCGTGCAACATTTGAAAATCAGAGTTGCTCATTTGTAATATTATGGTTTAATGCTTGATTATTGGCAACATGAATTTTCTAAATAATTTGTTTCACAACAATTGGTGATATCACTATGAGCATGGAACTTAAGTTTTGATGCTTCGCATCTTTCTCAGAGTTGCTCATTTGTAATATTATGGTTTAATGCTTGGTCGTTGGCAACATCAATTTTCTAAATAATTTGTTTCACAATGATTGTTGATATCACTATGCACATGGAACTTAAGTTTCGATGTTTTGCATCTTTCGTGTTTTTAAGTCTTGCAGGGATTTCTTTTGTTTTGTCTGAGGAAATTGATTGCCTTCACAAGGGTATTTGCTTTATCTTTTCCTTTTGCTGATTTTGAATTAGAATTACACTTGAACTTAATGAGAAAAGGGATTCTACCCTGATTCCTGGAAATATTATTTGGTAGTTGCGTTATAAGAGTTTTGATTTCTTGTGAATGTATAATGAAACCGAGGAAATAGTAGATTGGAGACACTGACCGAAGGAAACCCTCTGACTGATTGCAAGTAAGTGGATTTTTTTCTCTTTTCTGAGCATTCAATTGACTGTGTTTAGCATGTGTAAAAGAAGCAAGTATTAAAGATGGCCCTTTTCAGTCAGGAGCAAAGGGCTAGCACGACTAATGATTCAAAGAATCCCCAAGCACAAATGTTCACCTATTTCAGGTAACAAGTTTTTTGATATAAGTACATCTTTGTGAAATTTATATTTCTCATTTAGGGCCACTTTGGATGTCAGATAAAAGGAATTTGTTATTTGTAAAAATTGCAAGTTTTCAAATACCAATTGAAAAAAATACAAAGCCTTTTTTTTATTCTTATAAAGTCATTTGGATGTTAAAAGTCTTTTTTCTCTCTGTGATTCTCGCACTTACTGCAATCTGTTGTGTAGTTTGTAGCATCAACAAAGGGAGAGCAGGGTGGTAGAGAGAGCGAGGATTAAGGGGGTTTTGGGGAGAGAGAGAGAGAGAGAGAGAGAGAGAGAGAGAGAGAGAGAGAGAGAGAGAGAGT